CAATTAAGCTAAATTTGCCGCTCTTATATCCCGGATGCAGCACGAGAAAGTCTTATGCCTGCCTCATATCACATCATAATAAATAATTATGTATAGATGTTGAGTATTTAAAGCTAAATTGGACTTCATTCTTGTATTCTCTTTGCATCATAAAAAATGTTGTTAGTGCCACAACTAAAATACATATACGATTTCAATAGCACCTATATTAACAAACTTAAACACTCTTGATCGATTTCAGGTGAGCTTCTGCTTACAAATTTCTCGGGGAATGTTAGAACTGATGCTTGATATTAATTTCAGTCGTTTGAGTTCTTGGAATACCGGTTGCATTAAAAAATAACCTAAATTCAAATGGCTACTTAACAAGGATTGAGTAAACTCAGGCAATCCAAACAGTTTGAACCACATAGTGTACGCAGCCAATACCAAAGCAACTCTCCACTTTATGCGACGATCACTGGGTTCAGTGACTCCAGAAATATCCTTAACATTTTTTAAGATGCAAGGGCAACAACACTTGAGGGTTCACAACATCCAATCATCCCCTCTCCCCTTAAGAGACATAAATCTCCTGAATCGAGTGCAGAGGCCAGCAACGAATCGGGTGATAGGGTTGAAGAATACAAGTTACGACGAGAGACTGCAGCACTTGAGATTATTCTCTGTGAGTAACAGAAGAAACACAGGTGATCTGATGATGGCGTACAATATATTAAACAAGCCGAATCATCCCAACATGAGTCGCGTCTATCATTTCAAGTATTATTACTCAGAAAACTAAATACATATACAGTTTGAAGAGGTTACATCTTTATAAACCTAAATATTCTTGATGTTTGTAACCAACATGTTAGCGAAGATGAACTTGTAAGGATGGTGTGTGTTTAGACCAAAACCTGCTTGCTTGATAGAGATATAAAAAAGGCTGTGTTTGTTAAGAAGGGCCTACAAACAATACAACTGAGACAGATCTCAGTGTATATACAGTACATTTGTATGGAAATTGTAAATTTTACAATGTGTCAACCTAATTTGCAAGTTTTTTAATCACTTTGCTTCCTGAACTACCTCGAATTTATAACTTAGCTGAGAAGGATACCTCGATATGGTAGGGAGTATAGACCAACGTGTGATGTTGTGCTGTTACGACATTTCCCAGAGTAATCATGGCGCTAGTTTTCAGGTGGGCTCGCCAGTGTACGTCCTAGCTGTCCCACAAATATACTTATCGAATGGTTTTCCTGTTTTATGTTTGTGTTATTTCTTGTACTCTGAGTTTTTTAAGTTCCACCTTCGCAGCGCAGTCTGTCGCATGTGATAGGTCAATGCGGGCCAGTGAAGAAAATTTTGCCTCATGGAAAATGTTGTTAGGCGACGCTCAAGCTTATCGTATTTTAATACCAATGACGATCTTGAAAGTTTTATCATATTGTATTCCGCTGGTACGGAAGCCGTTGATTGTTTTCAAACAGACTATTAGCTCGCGAAGATTTGTGTGAAAGCGTGTGCAGAGTATGAAAACAACTACGATTTACATGTAATTTAAGACTTTCAATATTGTATTCCAGACTTCGATTTATATAACTATGGATATGACTATATCTTTTGTGTGTTTATCTATTTTCGTGCTGTTGTGAAAATACATTTGGTTTCTGCTGAAATTTCTTTTAGTGTTATCTAGTTGCCTGGTGTTATTTGGTAAATTATGGTGACTTCATTCTACCACACTTCATTATCCACATCGACAGTTCAAAATGAAAAGTTAACAACTGTCTGTCAGTTATAATCAAACTACACGTACAAAAATACGTATTGATGTCGCAGAAGTTTGAAGGCATTTTCATCATGCGCCAAGTAATAATGGATATGTCTTGAAACCGTTTTACGTTTGCAACACTTGTGTGACCTTACAATTACCATCTTTGTTTCTTTTTACTTGGTTTCACATATTATGAGGTCAGTAATTCACACAAAATATAAATCATTCTCACCTAGGTTAAGTCTCATTTAATATACTTCATGTTAATCTTATTTAATAATTGCAGTAAAATATTGTTAACGCGAACAACATGAAAGCCAAACATGAAATTTTAAGTATTCTTTCAATCGGAATAAAATCAGTGAACTCAAGATTTGCACTTAATTTATTCTGTTTAAGTCAGTAAAGATTTTGTTCCGTAATTAAGTAGTTGGATACGTAATAAACTGAAACCAAATACCGAATGAATTTCTAAGACAGAATAAAAACCATGAGACTATACCATCTCTGGAGATAGCTGAATAAATTTGATACCCTTGAACAACTAAATGAAAATATGTTACAGTTAAGGTTTTTGACGTTAAACACTAAGTTGGAAAAGAAGAATATTTTCAATAAACATTATGATCTATCTATAATCGAACGGTGGTGTAGATCGGGCTCACCAATGTAGATGTTCGAGTCGAAAGGCTGTGAAAACGTCTACAAATCAATTAAGTTCGGGTCACATGCCTAATCTCAGATCGTTTATCGGAAAAACGAAGACAAGATAGTTCGAATGAAATGAATGTATTTGCTGGAGATTTCGTGGTACGAAAAGAATACCGAGACATACCAGAGAATTGGGTGAAGGTATAGAGCAGCAAAAGAAAGATGGTGACCGTCAGAGTGAAGAGGCGCGTTACAAAAGTACGAATAAACAAAATGTTCCGTGAAATATTCACTCGTATAGTTGTGGTGGTGTTTGCTTCTCTGAGATGGATGTTTTGGTTGTGGAGCTTTCATTGTTCTTCTGAACAACATCTTCAGCACAACCAAAACATCCAGCTCAGACAACCAAACACCACCACAACTATCCACCCGACCTACAAACCTTCTCCACCACTGGTATAGTTGGTTTTAATTATTAATATTTTTCTTTAACCAGTCGTTTTTCTTCATTACAGTGAAATCACCACAGTGGTCTGCAATGGAACTCAAAATACATATTTCTTTCTATTTAGGACTCGTCAGCCTGACCTACGGAAATCCGAGTGTAAATATTCACCCTAAGACACAAATCCAGTTACTTTTGTTCCAGATATCAATATGCTATTTATTAGGCTATAAAGTCCGAATAACCATCAGTTTGCACAACCTGTACGCATTTTGTTTTTAAAGGTATGTATTGTCCAGCTGATGTCTCGACAAGAATATTCACAGTCGGATGATTGTGTATCCAGCTGACAAGTTCAAAATGAAAGAAAACGCGTTACTATGATTCTACTTCTGGCAGCTATCAAACATTACGAAAATCTTTTAAATAAACGACATTATTAAGTTAATAAGCTCAGAATGTAGGTACTCATATGCCGAGCAATGACCTAATAGACTAAAATGCTAATGGCAGATAAAATTGATTTTTTCTCAATCGTCTGTTTATCTTATTTCATCTTTCTTAGTCAGTTAGCTTATTCTTTTAATTATGAGTGCTTAATTGTATGACACAAGTGGTGAAATAGTCATTTACTAACAAACTGATATTAAATATCTGACTGTAAATAAACTTGTTAAAAAGTAGTATATAAATGAAAGTAACTTTAGTTTATTTTGGTGGGTTAAATAGATCATCTTACTGTTAGTTTTTTTTGTCTAACTCACAGTTTCCTAGGTGTAAGTACTGAGAGTCATTTAAGTACTCTGAAGACCCAAGAGAAACGCTAAATAATTTCAGACCTTAATATTCATAACAATGAACTCCAGTAATTACTAGAATTGATGTTTATTTCCCTTACAGATTGGTACTGTTTACCAAACAGTTGGGAATTCTGAGTTCAGTCATAAGTCTGCACTATTATGAGAAATAAACGAGTGAAGATTTCTAAATCATGTTAATCTATGAAGAATAGAATTATAACTCTATGACAAGAAACAATCATCTTTTAACCAAACTACTTCAATTCTAACAACTTAATTATAAGTACAGTTTGAACTACAGAAAACACTAGACCAAGGTTTCTTCGCTATGTAAAAGCTTATCATAACCGTTTACAATATTACACCACAAGAATAGTCTTCTTGAACCACTAATTTCTTACTATATCCTAAATTATTTTGGATTGAATGACTATTTCCATGATTATTAAGTGTTTATCAAACTACCTACAACCGATTATTTCTGTACTCATTATTCCGTTTTCCCCATCATCAATGTTGGTTTTTTCTGGTAAATACTGTTACTCACTTGGTCTGCTATGCGGTCTACGTTTGAATGTGTTGGGGACGTTGGGTCCCTAGAACTCACTTGATAAAGGTCTTAATTTTGAATTTTATGTTTTCGAGGATGTATTGATCAGTTGAGCTAGAGATTGCATTTCCCATCCGGGAAAATCCTTGACTGCTTCTGGTTGATGTACTATTTCAGTACACTATTTTTTCGGCTATCCCAAGGACGTTTCTATCATATACAAACAAACTCACTTTGTGTGCTTGCCAACCTCATGTTTTCTAGGTGCTTGTAGAATACACTTTCTGCGCCATATCAATAAGACTTCTTGATATGGTTTGCACGGCCGGGGACAATCAAATCAGAATAGCTTATCATGTCGCTGTATCATTTATCTTCGCTCTCATTTACCGAGTAAGATGAACTCGTAATAGTTTCAAGCTTATCAATAAACGAGCAAAGCAGTATGCAGCTAAAACGTATATCTAAATTAAAATAACAATCTTGAACTGGTGATCATTGATCTCTATTTTTTTTCCCTCGATCAGGACAAATTAGCATTCATTTGTCCTTCAAGCATAGATTGGCAATCCTCTTGTCCTTGTTGTATAATGATTACTCAAATACCCTTCTGCTTATCGGTTGGTGTAATAAAATATTCAACTATCTCAAAGGCTTGTAGCTAGTAATAGATATTCATACGAAATGAATTCTTTCCTATGGAAACACCATCGACAACTTCATTATTTTTATTTGTTTCCATACAAAATCAATAAATAAGTAGACTATTACAAAACAACAATAATATTTTCACTATGATATTGGATTCCAAATATGCCACATTATATTCATATTGAATGGATCGTTCGACATTGCTAGCCAATGTTTAAATCCTGTATTCTGTGATGATTTAGAACCAATACTTATATGACCTAATAGTTGTTTCTTCTGTTTGTGTTGATTTGAATGACATAATTGGAAAGTAATTTGTACATCGTTTAAATTGTCCGTTTTTCTTTTTAAATTCACACTAACAGTATGATTAAAATATAAATCTTTGAATTCACTGTGTGATGTAATAACTTCACGTTTTATTAGTTTTTCACGAATTATTACACAGACTATCACATAAATTTCATGATATTTATTAGGTGATTGAATAATATTGTCAAGATTTAAATTACGTATCTCAATTAAACGAATATGTAGACAATGTGCGTTGTCATATTGTAAACCGATAGACATTTCACCTAAATCAGTGAAATTAATTAAGTATACTTTTAAAGTGTCTGATAATATATATTCCTTATTAAAATACAAATCTGGATCAATACCACTGAGAAATACATGTAAGCATCCAATACATTCATCTTGACCAATTGAATCACTTGTCAACACTTCAATGAATAAATTTGTTTGCATCAGTTGTGACTGTAATAATATTTCAAAAGTGAATTTTTCATTCCATTGAGGTTTTAAACCATCAGCATACAATGTTTGTCTTTGTTGATGATCTAATAAAATCCAATGATTTTGATCCCAAATTGACAAAGTCATTGTTACACGTGTATGATAATTTGTTAATTGTGGCGAAAATTTCAAATCTTCCGCGCCGATAATTCCTACAGTTAAAGTATGCAATTTTGTGCAATAATTTAAACTATAATGTAATATTCCTTGTTTAATATAAGGTTGATCAAATTCAAATGGTTTGAAATGTTCTTTATTATTATGATTGATTGATATTATTGTTGAGTGATGATTTTTAAAAGTGAATATTTTACGACAAATTGATATGATTAGATAACAAAGCAATGTGAACAACAGTAACCCAAATAAAATCAAACAAATCAGAAGAAATATAGCCAGTGATACATTTTGTACATGGAAAAAATCTAAAAGATCTATAAGAAATTGATTGTTTTCATGTGATAATAGCGATTCATCTCTGAATATAAATGTCATTATTAAAATTTATCACCAAAGAATTTCATAGATTCGCTTAATGTTTACCATAGATATAGTTTTCAACGATTGACTCAAACAATATATATATATATATCCTCAGACATTAGATAAGATCCATTCTATGAACTTAGTAAATAGCATGTATACTAACACACTAATAAAAGAAAACTTGAATCTCAAAGATGTATTTTAAGTGTTTGAAGTGTATACAATTATTATTATTGTTTCAAACAAAGAGAAACAAAATTAAAGCAGCTACTTGAAAGAAACAATACTTGAATTTTATGAGTACACTTGAAAACAAAATAACAAGTTGACTAGAGAAAATTAATTTATTTGCATTACGGACTTGTGAAGATTGTTAAGTTACACATTTTTGAAAGCATGAATCAATCAATGTTAGACCAACACCATTAGAAACCTGGAAACACTGAATGACGGCCGTTTCGTCCTGGTATGGGACTCTTCAGCACTGAGCTCAGTTGTCTAACGGTTAGGGCGTTCGCGCACAATACCGGAGGTCCTGGGTTCGAATCCTGCAGGGTGCAGGAGTCGTGGATGCGCACTGCTGAGAATTCCCATACCAGGATGAAACGGCCCTCATTCAGTGCTTCCAGGTTTCTAATGGTGTTGGTCTAACATTGATCGATTCATGGTTTCAAAAATGTGTAACTTAACAATCTTCACAACCCTGTAATGCAAATTACCTGTGCTCACTAGTGACTAGCTTCGTGAGGAATCTTCTCCGAGTTCTGGTGGTGGGAAGACGTGACCAGTGAAGTTCAACCTGTTCGGGTGTAGGCAATGTCTAGCGAAGAGTGTGTATGAGGTTTCGCATCTCAGTGAATTTGATTAAGTTAGACATTAACACCGTTAGATACCGTCTCAGTTGTCTAACGAGTAGGGCGTGCGCGCCAAATACCTAAGGTCCTGGTTTCGAATCCTGCGGGGTGCAGGAGTCGTGGATGCGCACTCCACTGAAGAGTCCCATACCAGGATGAAACGGCCGTCATTCAGTGCTACCAGGTTTCTAATGGTGGTCTAACATTGATTGATTCATGCTTTCAAAAATTAATTTATTACCAAAAAAACAAAAGGTAATTAATTAATTCTCAAAGATTCATTCATCATTTACCCTTATTTTAATATTTTATGCCTGATGGTATACTTTCACCCTCTAAAAAGTTAACAATTTCTTAGTTATGTCACAAAAATGTGCTTCTTTGAAGTTTCTGCAGATTGTGTAAATACGTATTTGGGAAACTTTACAAAAAGGTACAATATCCTTCAAATCACGAATAATAAATACCCCTCTGTATCAATTATCTTCTCGCAAAGTTTATTAAAACAATGATTTGAGGTCAATTGATTCATATCATGATGTTCAGCAGTTTAATGTTATGAATGAGTACACAGAAAAAACTCAATAGATAAAAATGTTTTAGTGAAGAAAATCATTGGTACCGTACTTCAGGTTTTGCCAACGTCAATTCGATTGAAATTATTCTCTAGTGCGCATTCATTTTTACGTCTATTAGCAAAAGTTATAGTATTTTTGTTCAAGTTAGAAGAGATTTTCGATAGTCAGTATTAGTAAAGTTACAGGAACGATGCTAAATTCATTAGTTTTAATGAAAACACAACCTAGATGTAGACGCCCAGTCACATCCTCATCAGATTGCCACTGAGTATGCAGCTTAGCTTATTCCTTCGTAACAACTTACCACCTTAGACTACACGCTTCTCAACGTACTGATCATCAACTAGATGTTATCCTTAGTTCACCTCTGCATGATCATGTGTGCAGTTTTTTTGTGGTTGTCAATTCATTGAAAAGTCGGTTCGATGGATACGATATGTTTTATCTATCTCATAATAACACTTTGAAACTATTCTCAAAAACGTTAAGTCTAACCGATTAGTAACCAATTTGAACGAGGACAAGGTTTGGCAACGTAAATAAAATTAGGATTGAGGAATCTGATGATTTTGAGTACATTCAGTGAAGACTATTCCGATCTCGCTCCCTATACAAGCTAAGATAGCTCTGAATCACAATTTATTAAATAGTCACTCACTTACTTTGCTCCGATTACATCCATTTGACATGGACCATTTATTGTTGAAGTAGAACAGACTGACAGTTTCTTTAAGAAAACAGATGAAAGCACGACCAACGTTCATCATGAACTCAATATTACAGACTTTTTAGCATATCCACAAAGGATGGTGATCAATTTTCCCCCTTGGTCGAAGTCAAGTAATAAGTTGTTGTGGCCACTCGAACTGTTATTATTATAAATGGATAGTAGATAGTAAGGAGTGAAAATTATTTTGAACTACAGTGATTGATATGAACTACGTAGCTTAACCAACACTATGATTTTAATCATTAAATATGAAGCAACCTTTGAAATACAAAGGCACACTTACCGATAGAACAATACATCGAAAATAAAAACGAAGGAGTGATGAAAATGATCATATTTCCGTGTCTAGACATTGGCAGACTTATTTAAACTCTTGTAATGACTTTTCTGGCCTCCGTAATTTTCATCTGTCATTAAACATTCAGTGTGAATCTTCCAGACAGGTCCATATTTAGCTAATTCCACTGTCTCACATACCATTTCGCCTTCATCGTAATCAATGGAAATAGTCTCCTGCTACACATCTTCAATGTAGTGAAAAAGATTCCAAATCCCATCAATACTCATTCAGATGATAAAATCCAGCCAGAAGTTTTACTGGGTTTTTGAAAATTGGGGCCAATTAAAGATCGATAATTACTCTTGGAAAACGATTGGTATTTCTTAAATGCTGGTTTACAGTTTCAATACACGTTATAGATGTGGACCTGCTACAACATTGTTAAATTACCCCTCAGTCCAAGTAAATTGAGGCTACGAGACAGAAACACTAAGCATGCATTTTAGGCACAAACGTTCACAGCCATAGATTTTTAAGTCATACTGAGTTATGCAACAAACCGGCAAACATATATCCGACATTGGTATTAGTGACAGAGCCGGAGGATTTGTCATACTCAACTCCAATCTTTAGCTGAACGCAACCCCATAGTTGTGGACTAAAATCACTGTGCTACAGGCTGCAGAGTAGCTTAAGAGGAGCTATTGCTTACT